CAGGAATGCTCAGAAACCAAAATGAACATATCTTGTATTCTCAAATATCGTAGGATTGTGTGGCTAACTTTATCACAGGATCAGGGCTATATCTCTATCATAGCACTGAGATTTTAAAATAGGTCTTTTTTCCTGGTGTACCAGGTTATGTCTTCAAATATTAAGAATTCCTTAGTGTGCAGTCTTATTCAAGGTACATGTGAACTGTGAAATTTCATTCATGTATATTAGCAAACCCAGCTTTAATCAAAACTTTTTGCTATTGAGGTTCTTTGTCTAAGATTTTCTTTTTACTCTTTCTTTAAGAAATTCTTTACTAAAATTTTGCTTTAATTGCATCCATTAATTTTTAAAAAAAAAAAATTTGTAAATATTCTTTACAAATATTCCTATTTTTGTTAGGATGGACGTTTGAAGCCAGGAGATCAACTTGTCTCAATAAACAAGGAATCTATGATTGGCGTATCATTTGAAGAAGCAAAAAGCATAATTACCAGAGCCAAGTTGAGGTAACTATGCTATCTATAAGATAAAATGAGTCATTTAGTATGTTTCCTTAAAATAGTAATCTAAGATGTATTAAATACTTTAGACCTTAAAGGAAGTATTTTAAAAAATAATATAATGAAACATTATCTTAGAATTTAATCGTACTATATCCATAAAGTGATTTTTTTCGTGTTAGGTCAGAATCTGCTTGGGAGATAGCATTCATAAGACAAAAATCTGATGGCAGTCATCCAGAAAATCCATCATGCACATCCCTTTTACAAACTTCAGGAGAATATGGACCTCAGGCCTCAATGTTTAGTCTTCTTTCTTCTCCCCCTGAAATACTAATTCCAAAGATCTCATCCACTTCCAAAACTACAGATGCCTTTTCACCTTCCTTTAAGATAAATCAGGTAATCTTAAATTTATGTTTATTTATGTAGTCCATAAATCCCCTACGTGTTTTTGTATTTGTTATATACATACAGAATTATAATTTGGTAGTATAGTTTGTTAATAAACTGGTATTTCCTTGAAAGATCTTTTTCTTTTTTCCTGTTAAGATTTTTATGCTGTGCTGTCAGTAAATATTATTTTTCAAGTCATTGTGTCCTTTGTCCAGAAAATCATGATTGGGAATGGCATCACAAAAATATGCCTAAATAGCACTCAAAACTATATTAGGAATGTCATATTTATTTTCAGACAGTCCTTAATATGGTCAAACTCATTATTATTTCTGCTTGACCAAAGACAGGCAGTATTCCTTTTTGTTCCTTAGCTTCTTTCCTACACAGCGAGGCTAATCTTAATCATCCAGTGTAGGTGGATATTGCTCCCTCACATGTGTACACTAGAATATAGTTTACCCTAGTAAATTCGCACAAAAGGGGGAGTTTCTGCATCAAAATAAATATAATTAATAACCAATTACTACAGAAACCTAACAAATCAAAGTTATGAAATATAGCTTATATTCTTTAAATCTGTGTTAGCTATAAAGTAAAATAAGAAACTCAGGATTTCAGTTAGTGGAACAATTCATCAAAGGTAACTTCAGTTTAAGGAACATGCTAATCAGATACAGAGTATAAGATTTTCTGTCAGCTCCTTATACTTTTTCATTTGGAGTTTAATACCTTTTTAAAGACAAGGTACTTGGTCTTATATTTTGTTGTCCTTGGATAGCAGAGCTGAAAGCAGTTGTTACTTTTAATTCTGAATTGCTTTGTCTGAAGATGAATATACCAAAATTGTAGAGGTTTTATGTTTTTTGGACTATTGCTTTAATTACTTTAACCATTCTTTTTATGATAACATGAGCTTCTAATCTGGTCTTTGACCCACTTTAGAAAATGACATTTCATATTCCTCATTTTCTTTCACAGTTAAAAACTGGATACAAGAAAACAGAACAGCCTCCAGTTGCTTCTTCAGACAACAGCCCTACGAATACGTCTAATACAGGTAAGTGAGCATTTAATTCCTCGTTCCTGTTGTTTTTTTCACTCTCTCTCAATGAGAAGAACATAATGTGACTTAATAGACTTTAAAGAAGGATGTATTATGGCTTTTTTCCTTCAATAAATAAAAGAGCAAAATGAATGTATTATGCAGTGGTCCCTATTAGATAATGACTTTTATTGAAAATTTTACTGAACAAAAGGTTGAAAATTTCAAAGATGCATTATCATAACGGTGTCAATGAAGCTGTAATAATCAATGGTCTGTTGAAACTGAGTAATGAAAATTCTTCTATAAATCAAGATTAGGTTGCCCCGCCCTTTTAGTGAAATACTGGTGAGGTATATTAAATGCAACTTTCAGAGAAAGTATAGAAGGGAACATACCTTAAGAAAAGAAATGTTTTGGGTTTTTTTTTTTTTTTGGAAAAGATTATATAGATATAAATTAGAAAAAAACATCAGTATTATGATTTCAATATTATTGGTTTTTAATTACCATGAAATGATTTACTGTTTAAAACAATAAAGGATTGTATAAGCTACCCATAAAAAAAAAAAAGGATTTTTATTAAGCTTTAAAGTATATATTGGTTCAAATGTGAAGAAAAATTTCTTCCCTTAAATTATTTCTAAAAGTTAAACACGACGATTAAAAAACTATACTTATAAAAAGGAAAATATTACGTATGTCTAAATTATAATGCAAATTGTTATCCACATATTTCAATTTTTAATAGTATTATCTAAATCAGAATTACAAAATAAGGAAGAATTAGTATAAATTACATAGTATCTTAGTTTGTTTGGGCTGCTAGAACAAAATACCACAGACAGGGGAGCTTATAAACAAAAAATATTTCTCTGAGTTCTGGAGTCTAGAAGTCCAGGATCATGGTGCCAGCCTGGTCCTGGTGAGAGCCTTTTTTCCAGTTGCTGACCTTTTCATCTTGTCTTCACATTGTAGAAGGAACTAGAGGACGATGTTGTGGGGTCTCTTTTATAAGACCACTAATCCCATTCATGAGGGCCTCACCCTCATGACCTAAGCATCTCTCAAAAGCCCCACCTCCTAATACTATTACACTAGGGATTAAGATTTCAACATATTGATTTTGGGGGGATACAAACATCATGACCATAGCACATAGCTACTATACTTAACAGGAATTTACGATAGATCCCATAGTAGTTTTCTCTGATTTGGAGGAGTATTTACCAGTGGATACTTAGCATTGTTTAACCATACATAATATGCCTTTTTACTTAATAGGATTTGTTGATGGAGAAATATTTACCAGTGGATACGTAGAAGTCTTTAGCCATACATAATATTCCTTTTTACTTAGTGGGATTTGTTGATGGAGGAATATTTACCAGTGGATGCGTAGAAGTCTTTAGCCATACATAATATACCTTTTTTGTTGACTCTTAGAAATTATTAGTTTTATTCCCTTTACATAAACAATTTCCATTCCTTTGATATATTGTTTGTATTTTAAACTGGGGACCCATGTGAGAAAAAAAGATAAATGAAAGAAGCAAAACAATGGTGAGGAGACTTTTATGTAACCCGTTTTTAATTTTGAAAGTAATTGAACTACTCAGTGCCTCTTTTTAGCCTTTAATTTATTCAGCAAGCATTTACTGAGTATGCCATATGTGTAGAAAACATAGTTCAATAGGAATTATGAAAGAGTTAGGATAATTTCCATGAGATATTTAATAGTATATTATGAAATAAAACATGGAGTTAAAATAAAAAACCTTCATTATTCAGATTAGAAAAAGAAATGTATGTGTGTGTGTATATATGTGTGTGTTTATTTTATCAAATAACTACTATTTGCAGTATTCCGTGTTAACTAGAGCAGGTTATGGGTGATTTTAGTACTCTAAGGAGCATATGGTCTTGTGGATGAATTACATATTTGAAAAATTGTGCATAACCATGAACAAAGTGAAATAAGGAGA